GCGAATCAAATTATTTCGCTCCTTATCAATTACCTCGCATTGTCGCAATGTTCACTCTCGGCGCCAGATACTTGGCCACGAGATTACGGAGAAATTGCTTTGCATAAAGGTGATAATTTATGTACTTATTTAAATTGATGAAGACAATAATTCTGTACGAAGAATAATTATAGGGTTCGAAGAGTACGACTTTATCATTGTTGGCGCAGGATCTGCAGGATCAGTCGTTGCGAATCGCTTAAGTGAGAACCCAAATTGGAAAATACTTCTCCTCGAAGCAGGAGGAGATCCGCCAATTGAATCAATGGTAAGACGCTGGATAAATACAATTAATTAAGGAAAGTGATGTTAATATTATAAAAACCTGTAAACTAGGTTCCAGGACTGCAATCGGGGATGGCCAGGACAGAATACGATTGGATGTTCTCGGTAGAAACAATTAATCGAAGTATTCACTCTGGTTTTTGGCAGAGAGGAAAGATGTTGGGAGGATCGAGTTCACTCAATGTCATGATATATTGTAGAGGAAATGCGGACGATTACGACAATTGGAAGAGGCTCGGAAATCCTACATGGGAATTCGAGAACGTCTTGGAATATTTCAAGAAATCAGAGGCAAATCACGATCCGGAAATCGCTGACGCTTTCGGAGGATTTTATCATTCCAAAGACGGATTAATGTCTGTGGAACTCTTCAGGAGCAATCTGACAATCAACAACGTAATCATTCAAGCAGCCCAAGAATTGGGATACAAATTCATCTTAGACATTAACGCCAATGAACACATCGGATTCACATTCTCGCAAGGAACCATCAGATCAGGAGTCCGAGAAAGTACTGCCGCGGCCTTTTTGCGTCCTGCCATGAATCGTCCCAATTTGCACATCGTCAAACACGCGCACGTCACGAAACTCGAGATTGATAGTCAAGGAGTCGTTTCAGGAGTGTCAATGAAGCTTCGAGGACAAACTGAATTGAAGGCTTTTGCAAGGAAGGAAGTAATCTTAAGTGCCGGAGCCATAAATTCCCCGCAAATTCTAATGCTTTCTGGAATCGGACCTGCTTCTCATCTTCAAGAAATGGAAATTCCAGTAATTCAAAGTCTTCAGGTCGGAAAGAATTTGCAGGATCATCCGTGTATACCATTTTTAGTCAAATTGAATGAATCCAATGCCACAAAATTTAGTCCAATTGATCTGATGAGTAGTTACTCGACGTATTTAACTGAGCAAAGAGGAGATTTCGCTACAGTCGGTAGTTTCGAAACTATTGGTTATGTAAATGTTGATGATCCTCTCTCAAAGTATCCAAATTTCCAATATTATCAACTGTTTGTCCATAAAGGAGATGTCGACACTATTTCAGGAGGTTTAAGAGGATTTGGATTTGGTGAAGATGTTATAAATTTTGGTAGGAAAGAAATTCAAACCTCAAATATATTTTTTGTACTGTTGATGCATTTATCACCCGAATCAAAAGGAAAAATTCAACTACGAAGTACTAATCCTGATATTAAACCTGAAATTATTCCCAACTTTTTAGCCGAATCCTCTGATCTTATTTCTTTTATCAATGCAGTTCGATTATATAACAAATTATTATCGACAAAAACATATCGATTGAATGAAGCAACGCTGAGAACGTTTCCAATTCCAGAATGCGATAGGCTAAAATTTAACAGCAATAAATATTGGGAATGTTACTTTCAATATACCGTGCGAACAGTATTCCATCCTGTGGGAACTGTTAAGATGGGTCCCAATTCAGATCCTGACGCTGTTGTTGATCACACACTAAGAGTCAAAGGCGTTAAAGGCTTGCGAGTCATTGACGCAAGCATAATGCCAAGAATTCCCAGGGGCAACACCAATGCGCCAACAATTATGATTGGTGAAAAAGGAGCTGATTTTATAAAGCTAGATTGGAAATTTTGATTAAAGATGGAATTATTTCATGGTTGAATACTATCATTTGAAATTTTCTGTTTTCCTCTTTTGCAACCTATAATTTAATTGTACTTTTTTGATTAATAAAAAAATAATAATTTTCTTCCAATTATTCTTCCTGAATTTACTATATTCTTTCTTATAAGGTTTCTATTGAGCATAAACTCAACAACAACTGGTTTTCTCCACATTTCTTTATTCTATCGCAGCAGAAACTTCATAGCAAACACAATTCATCACAGACAGAAGATGCAAATCGTGTTAGTTTTTCATAATACATACATACCAGAAATGTAGTTTCGTGTTGTTTGGATAATTTTTCCGCGAATAAGGGTTAAAAGAAAAAAAAACTATGTTTTCTTAACACATTCAACCTCAACATATCAACACGCATCGAAATACATATGCATACAAACTTATTTACACCTAATTTTTGGTCTTCTTATGTACCATTTTTTATTCAGATTCAACGGCCGTTTATAAATAAGCAGTCTGAATAAAAAGAACACAGTCACAGTAAAGTCGTGTTATAGTGAACATCGATATCAAATGCTTCTCGTTTAAGCAAACTTTGAAGATACTTTTTCAATCACAATTTTTTTAATATACAACAGCGGAAAACATGAAAACAGCAAACACTGCGTCTAATGTATTTTTCGTGTATATGTAAAGTGCGAAATTAAAAATAATAAGCATATATTGGAAAAGCAAAAGTGCATTAACAATGGTACAATTGACTTCGAGTTGCCCAAACCTGAGCACAGGACCTGCGAATCAATACATCTCTCTCCTCATGAAATACCTTGCATTGTCGCAATGTTCACTTACAGCGCCAGAATCTTGGCCACGAGATTACGGAGAAATTGCTATGCGTAGAGGTGACAATATGTTTAAGTTTACAGTGATAGAAAGTGTATCAATAAGAATTGTAAACACGCAGGTTTCGAGGAGTACGACTTTATTATTGTAGGCGCAGGATCTGCAGGATCAGTCGTCGCGAATCGCCTAAGTGAAAATGAAAACTGGAAAATACTTCTCCTCGAAGCAGGAGGAGATCCGCCCATCGAATCAATGGTAAAAAATTATGAATAAAAAAATTAATTGAAAACAGGAAAGATTGTATATATCTTTCTTTTTTACATCAGGTACCTGGATTTCAATCAGCGCTCGCAAAAACGAAATACGATTGGGAATACTATATAGATCAATCAGAAAATTATAGCATTCTCACAGGTTATTGGGCCAGAGGAAAGATGTTGGGTGGATCGAGTTCAATGAACGGAATGCTTTATGTGAGAGGAAACGAAGACGATTACAATAATTGGGAAGCACTCGGAAATCCAACTTGGGGCTATGCAAACGTCTTGGAATACTTCAAGAAATCTGAGCAAAATCACGATCCGGAAATCGCTGACGCTTTCGGAGGATATTATCACTCAAAGGACGGTTTATTATCAGTCGAACTGTACAAGAATAACGACACGTTTAATCAAGACGTCATTCAATCTGCTCAAGAAATGGGATTCAAATTCATATTAGACATTAACGCAAATGAGCACATTGGATTCACATTCTCGCAAGGAACTCTCAGATCAGGAGTCCGAGAAAGTACTGCCGCGGCCTTTTTGCGTCCTGCCATGAATCGTCCCAATTTGCACATCGTCAAACACGCGCACGTCACGAAACTCGAGATTGATAGTCAAGGAGTCGTTTCAGGAGTGTCAATGAAGCTTCGAGGACAAACTGAATTGAAGGCTTTTGCGAATAAGGAAGTGATCTTAAGTGCCGGAGCGATAAATTCCCCGCAAATTCTCATGTTATCAGGAATCGGACCAGCAAATCATCTCCAAGAAATGGAAATTCCAGTAATTCAAAGTCTTCAAGTCGGAAAGAACTTGCAGGATCATCCTTGTATAGTATTTTTAGTCAGATTTAATGAATCCAACGCAAGATCAGGAACCCAAGTCGATCTGATGAAGAGCTACTCCTTATATTTGACAGAACGTAGAGGAGATTTTGCAACAGTTGGAACTCTCTCAACCATAGGATATGTAAATGTCGATGATCCTCTGTCAAAGTACCCGAATTTTCAATATTATCAAGTATTTTTCCAGAAAGGAGATGTGAACGGAATCACTGGACTTTTGAGACTTTTAGCATATCCTGACAATGTGATACATTTTGGAAAACGGGAAGTTCAAGCGTCAAGTATTATTTTGACAATACCAACTTTTTTAACACAATTATCAAAGGGCGAAATTCTGTTGCGAAGTCCAAATCCAGGGGTAAAACCTCGAATAATTCCCAATTATTTAGCCGAAAAATCAGACCTTCAAACTTTTATAAAAGCTATTCGATTGTATCTCCGAATTTTATCGACAAAAACATTTCAATCAAATGAAGCGAAGCTGAGAACATTTCCAATTCGCGAATGTGATAAATTACAATTCAACAGCGATGAATATTGGGAATGTTATTGTCGCCATACTATTACAACTCTTTACCATCCCGTGGGGACAGCAAAAATGGGTCTCAATTCAGATCCTGACGCTGTTGTTGATCACACACTGAGAGTCAAAGGCGTTAAAGGCTTGCGAGTCATTGACGCAAGCATAATGCCAAGAATTCCCAGAGGAAACACCAATGCGCCAACAATCATGATCGGAGAAAAAGGAGCTGATTTTATCAAGCAAGACTGGAAATCTACTTAAGGAACAAAAAATCTCTTTTTAGGGTTACGAAATAATTTTAAGACGACTAAAAGACTTTTACTTCTTGCGTGCCTGACAGACTTTTTGTTTCAATGGCTTTTGTATGGTATCTAAATGCGTAATAAAGTGAAAGATAACGTCAAATATACAGACTAATCTTGTATTTTTTATATGAATGATGGATATAAACATAAAAAAGTACGAAAATAAAGTCATAAAGCAGACATTTTTCATGCTATATATGACTAGAGAGAATACTATTGTAATTTCAGTTTAACTTTGGTACTAGAAGGCAAAGCATCGTGATAATTTATAGGAAAACGTGAATATTAGAAGATAATTATGGATTGTGTCTGTTCTCCATACACAAACATAAGTACTGGAGCAGTTAGTCAGTACATTTCACTTTTCTTGAATATTCTCACAACCCCGCGTTTTCCCCCGGAATTATGGCCGAAAGACTATGGAGACATTGCAATTGATCAAGGTGAATTCAAAGAAACTTGGCCGTGAATTACATTACAATTATGCGGAATTTTCGCAGGATTTGAGGAATATGACTTCATAATCGTTGGCGCCGGATCTGCTGGTTGTGTTCTTGCTAATCGTCTCAGTGAAAATCCTCAATGGAAAATCCTTCTTGTAGAAGCAGGAGGAGATCCTCCTGTAGAATCATTGGTAAGACTTTGCTTACAATCACAAACAAACCCCTAAGAGACGACTTGATTTTACAGATACCAAGATTTGTTACAACTTTAGTGGAAAGTGATTATGACTGGAAGTATTATATTGAACCATCTGAAAAATACAGCAAACTATCGGGTTTATGGCCAAGAGGAAAGATGTTGGGAGGATCGAGTTCGATGAATGCAATGATGTACGTCAGAGGAATTGAGAATGACTATAATCACTGGGAAGAGCTTGGAAATCCATCATGGGGATGGAAGAATGTGCTGCAATACTTCAAGAAGTCTGAACGCAATCAAAATCCTGAGATTGCTGATGCTTTCGGAGGATATTATCACTCCAAAAGTGGATTATTAAACGTTGAACACTTCAACAGTAACGAACCTATCAATTCTTATCTGATCCAAGCAGCCAAAGAACTGGGATATGAATATGTACCAGACATGAATGCAGATAAGCGCATTGGAATAACTACTGGTCAAGGCACTGTTAAGGCAGGAGTGCGCGACAGCACAGCTGCTGCATTCTTACGTCCGGCAAAGAATCGACCAAACCTACACGTTGTTAAACACGCTCAAGTGCTAGGCCTGGAAATTAATCACAAAGCTGAAGTTTCAGGAGTACAAATGAATCTCAGAGGACAAAAAGTGTTAAAGGCTTTTGCGAAGAAGGAAGTGATCTTAAGTGCCGGAGCGATAAATTCCCCGCAAATTCTAATGTTATCAGGAATCGGACCTGCTGCTCATCTTCGACAATTTGAAATTCCAGTAATTCGACATCTTCAAGTCGGAAAGAACTTGCAAGATCATCCTTTCGTACCTCTTATTTTCAAATTTGATGAATCAACAGCAATTCCAGTAACAATGACTCAAACTCTTCAGGGTTTCTTGCAATATTTTACGGAGCATACTGGTCCGTTTTCCAACGTTGGATCTATGGAAACATGGGCTTACGTTAATGTTCAAGATCCTATTGTAACTCAACCTGATATTCAATACCATCACTTATATTTTCAAAGGGGACAACTTGACGATATTGCTTCAGCGCTTAACTTCTTGGGATATCAAGATTCTGTTGTGCAAACAGTGTCATCGGAAATTCTAGATTCAAACATTCTTATTACAAGTGTTAATCTCTTAACAGAAAAATCACGAGGAGAAATTTTGCTTCGCAGCGCTAATGCAACTGAACATCCTCGTATTGTTGCAAATTATTTATCCGAAACTGTTGATATTGTAACATTCATAAAAGGCATTCGTAAATATTTAGAACTTCTGGAAACGCCCACATTTAAAAGCCACGATGTTAAATTGTTTACTTTACCAATTCCAGAGTGCGATTATTTAGTATTTGATAGTGATCCTTACTGGGAGTGTTATTGTCGTTACATGACCACAACCCTTTATCATCCAGTGGGAACTGTTAAGATGGGCCCCGATTCAGATCCAAACGCTGTTGTTGATCACACACTAAGAGTCAAAGGCGTTAAAGGCTTGCGAGTCATTGACGCAAGCATAATGCCAAGAATTCCCAGAGGCAACACCAATGCGCCAACAATCATGATCGGAGAAAAAGGAGCTGACTTTGTGAAACGCTCTTGGGGTTACACCGGTCAATGAGAATAAATAAATATTCAGAAGAAGATAAAAATTGCATAATATATTCAACGAATTAAATATACAAGTTTTCAGCATGTCTAGTCTAATGAATGGAAGATATATTCCGTCTCGAGAGTGAAAGATAAATATCTATAAATTATACATATATGTAGACAAGTATATATAATGTACTTACAGAAATTCTTATAGACTTCTGCGTCAAAATATGAGTGTAATATATTCGAAAATGCATTATTATCCAGAAAATAAACGGTGGTGGAATAAAACCAACTAATTTTCTCACAAGATTTTTATAAACTTTTATGTTCATATGTTTTCATTGCATAGAGAAATTCGGAAAATATTCGTCTGTGGTTGTGAAGTTTTAAAGAAAAGTAACATGAAATTCTGAAAACCTGTTCAATACTCACGAACAGGTTCCTAAATATGCTAAATCAAATTCTTTCTGCACATTCAGAGGAGAGTTTGGAAAATTTTTAGTCATATTTCTACATTCAGACCACAAACATGGATTGTTTTTCTTCGCCGTGCATGGGTCAAAGTACTGGAGCGGTGAATCAATACATTTCGCTTCTCTTCAATTATCTCGCCATTTCACAATGTTCTCTTTCGTCTCCGGAAACGTGGCCCAGAGATTATGGAGATATTGCGATTAGAAAGGGTAAGAATTGCCGATGAAAATCTAAATTGTGGAATTAATGGAGTTTTCAAATAGGTTTTGAGGAATATGACTTCATTATCGTCGGCGCCGGATCTGCTGGTTGTGTTCTTGCTAATCGTCTCAGTGAAAATCCACAATGGAAAATCCTCCTTTTGGAAGCAGGAGGAGATCCTCCGATTGAGTCAGCTGTGAGGTTTTATACAAAATATTAAAATATGGACAAGTAATCAAAATACTTGCACTTTTGCAGATAATTGGACTATCAGTGTCTCTGACGAAGACACAATATGATTGGGAGTATTATACGGAACTACCGCAGAAACCAGGATTTACTAGAGTAAATTTTGGCTATTGGCCAAGAGGAAAGATGTTGGGAGGATCGAGTTCAATGAACGGAATGCTTTATGTGAGGGGAAACGAAGACGACTACGATAACTGGGAAGCACTCGGAAATCCAACTTGGGGATTCGCAAACGTCTTGGAATACTTCAAGAAATCCGAGCAAAATCACAATCCGGAAATCGCTGATGCCTTCGGTGGATATTATCACTCAAAGGACGGTTTATTGTCCGTCGAACTGTACAAGGATAACGACACATTTAATCAAGACTTCATTGAATCAGCACAAGAAATGGGATTCAAATTCATTTTAGACATTCACGCAAATGAACATATTGGATTCACATTCTCGCAAGGAACCATCAGATCAGGAGTCCGAGAAAGTACTGCCGCGGCTTTCTTGCGTCCTGCCATGAATCGTCCTAATTTGCACATCGTTAAATACGCGCACGTCACGAAACTCGAGATTGATAATAGAGGAAAAGTTTCAGGAGTGTCAATGGTACTCCGAGGAAAGAAAAAACTGAAGGCTTTTGCAAGGAAGGAAGTGATCTTAAGTGCCGGAGCCATTAATTCGCCACAAATTCTAATGCTTTCTGGGATCGGACCTGCTTCTCATCTTCAAGAAATGGGAATTCCAGTCATTCAAAGTCTTCAAGTTGGAAAGAACTTGCAAGATCATACCATAGTGCCGTTAGTAGTGAAGCTCGATGAATCCACGGCAACTTCTCTTAATAGTGCTGAAGCGCTGGAAAGTTTTGCTGAGTATTTAATGCGTCACACAGGAACTTTGGCCACAACAGGAACGATTCAAACAATTGGATATGTCAATGTTCATGATCCTTTGTCCAGATTTCCTGATTTTCAATTCTATCAACTGTTATTCCACAAAGGTCAACAAGACATTCTTTTTTCCTTCATTTTTCAATATTTGGGTTTTACTCAAGAAATATCAAGAATTATTGCTGATGAAGCAAAGACATCAAATGTCCTTATAATGTCTCCATCGATGTTGAAAGAAAAATCACGGGGTGAAATTCTATTGCGAAGTGCCGAACCGACAGAGAAACCAAGAATTTTTGCTAACTACTTTTCTGAAGACTCTGACGTGAAGGCTTTTGTTAAAGCAATTCGTTTGTATCTCAAATTTCTAAAGACAAACACATTTAAAAGCCACGAAGCTGAACTTTTCATCCTTCCACTTCCCGAATGCGATTTACTGACATTTGACAGTGACGAATATTGGGAATGTTATTGTCGTGTCATAGTAACGACAGTTTTTCACCCAGTTGGGACAGTGAAAATGGGTCCTGATTCAGATCCTGACGCCGTTGTCGATCACAAACTAAGAGTCAAAGGCATTAAAGGTTTGAGAGTTATTGACGCGAGTGTAATGCCAAGAATTCCTAGTGCAAATACAAATGCGCCAACAATTATGATCGGAGAAAAAGGTGCAGATTTCATCAAAGAAGATTGGTAATGTTGAAGTGAAAAAAAATTTACTAAAATTATTTATTCAATAAAGATATTTTAGTCTCTTGAAGGCACTTATTATACGTGGTCATAAGCATATTGTTGAGAAATTTAACATAGTAAGAACGTTGATTCATCACTGCATCATCTTATTCATGTTTATGGTTACTTTCTTATGCTTTTAATATATGCGGCAATTCGGAAATTATTGATCTATGGTTGTGGCGTTTTAAAGAAAAGGATAATAAAATTCTGGAAACCTGTTCAACATTCGCGAACTGGTTCCTAAATATGCTAAATCAAATTCTTTTTGCACATTCAGAGGAGAGTTTGGAAAATGTTTAGTAATATTTCAGCTTTCAGAGCATAAACATCTTTGAAATTTCACTTCTGGAAATTTTCTGAATTTAATACAAATGGATTGTTTTTCTTCGCCGTGCATGGGTCAAAGTACTGGAGCGGTGAATCAATACATTTCGCTTCTCTTCAATTATCTCGCCATTTCACAATGTTCTCTTTCGTCTCCGGAAACGTGGCCCAGAGATTATGGAGATATTGCGATTAGAAAGGGTAAGAATTGCCGATGAAAATCAAAATTGTCGAATTAATGGAGTTTTCAAATAGGTTTTGAGGAATATGACTTCATAATCGTTGGCGCCGGATCGGCTGGTTGTGTTCTTGCTAATCGTCTCAGTGAAAATCCTCAATGGAAAATCCTCCTTTTGGAAGCAGGAGGAGATCCTCCGATCGAGTCAGCTGTGAGGTTTTATACAAATATGATTTCTAGACAAATTATCTAAATACTTGCACTTTTGCAGATACCCGGACTAACGTTGACTTTGACGAAGACTCAATATGACTGGGAGTATTATGCGGAACTACCCGAGAAACCGGACTTCGATAGTATAAATATTGGTTTTTGGGCCCGAGGAAAGATGTTGGGTGGATCGAGTTCAATGAACGGAATGCTTTACGTAAGAGGAAACGAAGACGACTACGATAACTGGGAAGCACTCGGGAATCCAACTTGGGGATTCGCAAACGTCTTGGAATACTTCAAGAAATCCGAGCAAAATCACGATCCGGAAATCGCCGATGCCTTCGGAGAATATTATCACTCGAAGGACGGCTTACTATCAGTCGAACTGTACAAGGATAACGACACATTTAATCAAGACTTCATTGAATCAGCACAAGAAATGGGATTCAAATTCATTTTAGACATTCACGCAAATGAACATATTGGATTCACATTCTCGCAAGGAACCATCAGATCAGGAGTCCGAGAAAGCACGGCGAAGGCTTTCTTAGTTCCTGCCATGAATCGTCCCAATTTGCACATCGTCAAATACGCGCACGTCACGAAACTCGAGATTGATAGTCAAGGAGTCGTTTCAGGAGTGTCAATGAAGCTTCGAGGACAAACTGAATTTAAGGCTTTTGCAAGGAAGGAAGTGATCTTAAGTGCCGGAGCCATAAATTCCCCGCAAATTCTAATGCTTTCTGGGATCGGACCTGCTTCTCATCTCCAAGAAATGGGAATTCCAGTGATCAGAAATGTTCAAACTGGAAAGAACTTGCAAGATCATCCGATAGTGCCGTTAGTAGTGAAGCTCGATCAATCCACGGCAACTCCTGTGAATCCTGCAGGAATTCTGGAAAGTTTTGCTGAGTATTTAATGCGTCACACAGGAACTTTGGCCACAGTAGGAACGATTCAAACAATTGGATATGTCAATGTTCATGATCCTTTGTCCAGATTTCCTGATTTTCAATTCTATCAACTGTTATTTCACAAAGGTCAACAAGACGGTCTGTTTCTCTTCATTGCTAAACAGTTGGGTTATACTCAAGAAATATCAAGAATTATTGCTGATGAAGCCAAAACCTCAAATGTTCTAATTATGGCACCAGCGATGTTGAGAGAAAAGTCACGGGGTGAAATTCTGCTGCGAAGTGCCGAACCGACAGAGAAACCAAGAATATTTGCGAACTTCTTATCTGAGTATTCTGATGTGGAGGCTTTTGTTAAAGCAATTCGTTTGTATCTCAAATTTCTAAAGACAAACACATTTAAAAGCCACGAAGCTGAACTTTTCATCATTCCACTTCCCAAATGCGATTTACTGACTTTTGACAGTGACGAATATTGGGAATGTTATTGTCGTGTCACAGTAACGACAGGTTTTCACCCAGTTGGGACAGTGAAAATGGGTCCTGATTCAGATCCTGACGCCGTTGTCGATCACAAACTAAGAGTCAAAGGCATTAAAAGTTTGAGAGTTATTGATGCCAGCATAATGCCAATAATTCCTAGTGCAAATACAAATGCGCCAACAATTATGATCGGGGAAAAAGGTGCCGATTTCATCAAAGAAGATTGGTAATGTTGAAGTGAAAAAAAATTTACTAAATTTATTTATTCAATAAAGATATTTTAGTCTCTTGAAGGCTCTTATTAAACGTGGCCATTAACATATTCCATACAAGTTTAACATAGTAAGAACGTTGATTCATCACTGCAACTTCTTATACATGTTTATGGTTATTTTCTTATGCTTCCA